AAATCATTTCTGGAAAACTCTGAGACAAAAGGGCTGCATCCTCAACTTCCATTCTGCACAAAAGAAGGCAACTATGGAACCTAACCAGGGTGTTTCTGAGCCCTGTAGAAAGAAGAGCTGCCTCCTTGAACTTTTTGGCCCAGAGTTCCAAAGGAGCACTCATTTCTGGTACTGAACAGAGTGTGAGCACGCACATGGACATGGAGAAGGGCAGGCCAGGCACAGCCAGGGGAGTGAGCCTGGGCACTCCACTCAAGGTCCTCCGTGGCTTCTGCTCTGGGACACCAGCAAGGCTCTTCCTTCCTGCTCCCTTGTCCACCTGGTGGGGAAACCCAGGCTCCACATCCCCCGAGACGGGTTCTCTGGGGAGCTCCAGGTCTGTTTGGCACTAGCTAGGCACCAGCCAGCAATGGCAGAAGAGTTGGACTTTGTCACAATTTCCATCTTTAACTCCAACAAACACTTTATACTGAACTGCAAGGAGACACCTTCTCAAAGACTCAGCCTGAGACAAGCCAAGGAGCCCAGGTGGGGTCAGGGCACTGAACGCTCCCATAGTCTTTCTCGAAGCAGCCACTGCCCTTTGGGATTCTCTGTCTCACAGTAGTCCTCCCCTGGAGACGCCATGGGCTCCGGTGCAAAGAGCTCCACATCCCATCCCGTATCTTCTCCTGAGAAGTCGAAGAGGATCTGTCTGGAGCTCCCCAGGCTAGAAGGGAGGAACGAGGCACAGGGTTTAAGTTCAGCTTGGCCAGCTGCACAGAGGGAAGGGATGCCTGGATTACCACCATGCCTGTTATCATGGGAACTTTGGGTGGATCTCAGGTGGCCTTAAAGAAGGACAGGTGGTGAGGACTGGGTCATGGTTTCACCGTGTCTTGTACATGGTTTATTATTATGAGAGGAAAATGCTACCTAGGAAACCCTGATTCCATCAGAATTGGGTGACTTCTGTAGAAGCGAAGGAAACCACTGGATGAGTCTCTATAGGCCCTCTGTTGGACAGGCAGGCCCCACAGCAAGGCCTGGGTTGGCCAGACCAAGACTTAGGAGCACAAGACTCACACCTGCATGAATAGGCACCAGGAGTGTGGGCTAGTGACGGTGACTGGTCCTGGGACAGGAGGATATGGAGGAGAGACATGGGAGGTGGTGGTAAGATGGCCCTTCAGGATAGAACCAGGAGAGTCTGGGGTTGAACTCTTCTTTCTAACCAACCAATTCTCAGTTCCAGAGAGGATTGCAAGGAGCAATAAGCATCTTCTTCAATCTCCTCTAATAATAATCTGTTGAAAATATAGTTTATATGTTTTCTCCATGGAAATAACACAAGTGGTAGACTGCAAAGGTATCCCTGAGCCAGGAATGAGCACAGCTAACTAGCAATTGAAGTCAAGAGAAATAAGGAAAAGTTATAATTGGTTTTCCCAAGATGGCCATTGCCCACAGAGATACCATAAGATGTCTCCGACTGTGGACTTCTTACTGCATTCAACCCCAAACTCTCATTAAAAATCTGTAGCGCACAATGTGTCAATGGCACTTGGGAACAACAATGAAAGAAGATGGCCCAAAACATGAGGGTTAAATGAGTCAGAGAGAAAGGGAGGGAGATTCAGAGCTGAAGCTCTATCCAAGAAGACAATGGTGGACCATGCTATAATAGACACTATCAAAAAATCTTTAGAGATCCTGCTCCCCCAAAATACAATATGCAGGAACAATTTTGGCACATAGGATAGGCACTCCACACACCTTAAGAACCACCCAGGGTCTGGAGGACACAGAAGCATTTTAGTTCCAGTACTTAGCCCAAGCACTTACTCTTTTTTGTGGGCTTTGGGCTTAAATTTCAGGGTGCTGAATGCTCCTTCCACAGCCTTGGGCAAGTAAATGGGGTGCCTCTCCAGTCTCCTCTGGGTGCCAATGGTCCTGCGCTCCGTGCTCCTTCGAAACTGGCTGTCTGGGGTGTGGCCAGCTTGTCCAGCAATGTCCTCAGAATGTCTGCGCGGGGCCCGCAGGATCCAGTTGGAATGCAAGCTGTGCTCCCGGGAGCTGGTGGCCACTGGAAGAGAGAAGAGGGTGACCTGGGAAGGGAGGGCTGGGCGTCAAGACGGGAAGAAGGCAAAGGAGAGGGTGGACGGGGCTAAGAGCTCACTGGGAATGGGTAGAGCCACAGTGGATCCTTAGAAAGGCCCCAGTGGCCAAGCAAGTCGGGCACAGGGGTGCTGAATATTCACTCCATCAAACACAGAGATAAAGGTCTGTATTATTGACTTGGAATCAAGCTCAAAGTGTAATGTACATTGTCAAATGAAAGAAGATCCTATTTTTGTTAAGAAAACAAACTGGTGTGTGCAAGTGTGTGTATGTTTGTATGTTTGTGTGTATGTGTGTGTGTGTGTGTGTGTGTGTGTGTGTCTGGAAAGGTCATGTGCCCCATGTGGGTTGTCTCTGGATGGTTTGAGGTCATACATTTTTTTTTTTTTACCTTCTTTATGTTTTAGCATGTTGTTTGATTAACTGGAGTTACAATTGACATAGATGGTTATTTTTACCAGGATAAAACAGTCATTTTGTGACAAAAGAAAACCATTTTCATTAGAAGATTGTGATTGTGAAGATGACACCTGCACCCTCAGTGGACTCTGTCATCCTTCCACAGATGTTCTGCATTTCCCAGGACCCACTCCCGGGTGAGGGCTTCTGTTGGCTGGGGACGTGGGGCCGCATCCATGGGGAAGGTGAGCAAAGTGCCCGCAGGGTAGACTGAGCTCAGAAAATGGGGAACATGTCACAGAACCATTTTGAAAACCCAGATCTCACACATGCACATCTACTGAGACCAGAACAACCACAAAACCACAAGCATGGCCTCCTCCGGCCATTAGATTAAACCCCCAAGATTATTTAATATCAGTACCAGCAGCTGTTGCTAGGTCTCCAGGTAAGAGTGGGGGTAAGGGCAAGTCAAAGTTTAAAGAAATGGACAGTTTGGGAATTTAAAAGTAAAGTAGGCTCAACTCCTCAACCTGTTACAATTCTTTGCTCTCCCCAGTGATCCGCCATGGTGAGCAGGGAGGTGAGGCCTACCCCTTCCCCTTCCTTCGCCCCAGGGACTGGCTGGGCCTGGGCAGGCTCCTGGGCCTCTCCTGCTCCGTGCAACAACACCCACCACCGAGCTTAGGTAGGGTCAGAGGCCAGGTTTTCAAATATAGTTTATCCACGCCCTTCCTCTTTTCAAAATTGTGGTGACATGCAGGTGACATCCAACCATCTTCACCATATTTAAATGTGCCATTGGGGTAGTGTTAAATACACTCCCATAAGCAATCTCCAGAACTTTTTCATGTCACTAAACAGGAACTCTCTACAGACCCTTCCCCCATTACTTCTGCTCCCTGTCACTTTTCCTCTCTTAGGAAAGCCTGACCCTGTCTCAGCTCCGTGGACCACAGGGCCTCAGAGTGCTGGCTGGAGGCTGGGGTGGTAGCAGCAGGGACAGCCAGGTCCCCAGAGAGAACAAGCTCGGGAGCTGGCAGGGAGAGGGGTTCCCTTTAATCAGGAAGGGGGGACCCCATTGCTTATCCCAGAATCCCACTCACATCCCCACGCACTTTCAGCCCCTGGGTTAAGGTCTCTTCCCCAGCACGCACCATCAAAATCCACATCTTCATTCAGCAGGTCGGCCTCGGCCACCCGGGGTCCCCTCTCTGTATCCAGCTCTGCAATGATGGAGTCGAAGAAGGCGATGGCCTCGGCCACATCGGCACTGAACTGCGAGTATTTCTTTGAAGTTAGTTTCTGCAGGAGATAAGAGGGGAGGAGGGCTGGCTGAACCAGGTTCTGAGGACCCTCAGGCACATAAGCCAGAGACACTGGAAAGGAGTAACTGTTGCTGAAACTTCATGAATATGGAGTCAAGAATTTATGAGGTTTCGCAGGTAAGTGTGAAAGCCAAGAAACAAGTGAACCATAGTGTCTATCATGAGTGAGTGGATTAAGAAAATGTGGTATATATTTCCACTCGAATATTATTCAGCCATAAAAAATAATGAAATCCTGCCATTTGCAGCAAATTGGAGGACATAACATAAAGTAAAATAAACCAGGCACAGAAAGGAAAACACCACATGTCCTTATTCACATGTGGAAGCTAAAAAGTTTGATCTCATGTAAGTAGAAAGAGTAGTGGTCACTTAAGGAAGGGGAGAGGGGAGTGGAGATTGAAGGGTAATGAGCTGGAGACAAAGAATCACAAAATAAGGTAGATAGGAGGAATAAACTACTGCTCATAGCACAGTGGGGTCAATATAGTTCACAACAATTTATTACGTATTTTAGATGGACACAGTACCCTTATTTTGTTTCTTGAGTTTTCTGTGTGTGTGGTACTGAGGTCAAACCTAGTGCCTCATGCGTGCTGGGCGACACTCTACCACTGAGCCGCAGCCCCAGCCTTACTATGTTTTTGTTGTTGTTGTTGTTTTACTTTTATTTTGTTTTATTTATTTATTTATTTATGTGGTGCTGAGGATCCAACCCAGGGCCTCACGTGTGCAAGGCAAGTGCTCTACCGCTAAGCCACAACCCCAGCCCCATTATTATGATGATGATTTTATAAAGAACTAGAAGGAAGGAGTTTGAAGTTTCCAACACAAAGAAATGAAAGATGTCTAAGAAGGTAGAAATGTTAATCAACTTGAATTGGTCATTACACTTTGCAGACTTGTATTGAATTATACCCCATAGATGCAATTATTATGTGTTAATTTTTTTTTAAATAAAAAGGTAAATTTGATTAAGTGCCCCATTGAAGGAAGTTCAATATTCCAAGTCCATAAGTGCTGTGGGTCAACGGATTTCTAAATATCTCAGGCAGGGATAATGAAAGGACAATAAGATCTATTTCATTCTTGTTCACAGATTTGTCATCAGATAATAGAAAAAAAAATAATGCAAGGAAGATCAGTGGAGTAGAATCAGGGGACCAAGAGGGAGGGAGGAGGAAGGAGAAGAACCGGGAAATGAAGGTGACCAAGCTATGCCATTTATGAGCCTGTACCACTATATCACAGTGCACTCCAATTTATATCTAACTGTAATGCACCAATAAAAAATAAACAGAAGGAGATGAAAGTGAGCAGAGGGAAGAGAGAAAGTGGCCAATTGGGCCCCAATCATGGGATAAATAATAATAAGTAAGAATTAAATGAATCTATTCAGTGTCTAACCAAGTTCCAGGCTCTTTGTTGACTTGTGCATGATCTCAGTTTGTTGGAATAACTTTCAGTTTACAGCTAGCAGCTAGCAGCTATGAGCAGCTCGGATGCTTGAAGAATCTACACTCGTTCAGGCCTGATAGAAACGCCTGCAGGATGGGATGCTGCAGAGGGCCGTTGTGAAACTACAGCCTTAGCACTTGTGGTTAGCGTTGCCAAGATGCCATCAGGCCAGGAAACTGATGGCCAGGAGCTTCGACATGGAACGTCTAACTTAGAAATCCCCTCCCCTAGGGACAAAGACTCTTCCTGATGATAGCAATATTTAGAACATCCTCATAGTGTGGTTACATTAGGCAGAAGATGATTGGCTTATGGATACTATCTTGCTTGTGTATGATTGACGGGCGTGCCCCACCCTATAACAATTGTATGCATTCCCAAAATAAACTGAGCTACTGGACGACGACCTGAGGTGGGACTCCACCAGTTCTCTCACCATCTCCCGGAGTCTGTGTGTTGATTCCCCATCTCTATCCCCTGCGACAAGGTAGCCGAGCAACTAATTGACCAGAACCACAGCATCAGTTTATCATCCTCTTGACCACGACCCACACAGAGCCTGCCAAGAGCACCTGACACTGTGGAAGTCCAGCACCACGTAGGCTAACAATCACAGATTTAGAAAGAAAGAAATAAACCACTAGCCTAGAAATTGCCACCTCAGTCACTGTCACCAGAGCTGGTGGGCAGTAGCCCTTTCAGCTATGCACTCATTATTCCAAATACATAATCATGTTGCTTATTTCCAAAACTCTGAGCTTTAGGAGTCCTGCTTGGGCCTCCCAGCCACACATGACGCTCTGGCTGTATGTGGCAGTAATGCCATCCCAGGCTCCCCCAGGCACTCGGGACACCAGCTCGTCCACCAACACTGCAGAGATGCCCTTCTGGACCCCACCAGGAGTCTCTGCTGGGCTGTGCAACACACCATCATTATAAAACTTGCTTCTGTTACAAGAAGTTTGGGTCCTGGTATGGCTGGAGTATGAGTCATCATCTGCGGCTTTCTGGTGTCATTAGCAACTGGCCTACACCTGCCTGTGTGATCAAGTCCCATCTCAAAAGAAGGCTTTTCCCTGAGATCCTTTATGGAATGAAGTAGGTGCATAAGCGAATGAATAAGCAAATTGTTTTCTTTCCTTGCTTAACCCTGCCTTCCTTCCCTGCAAACAAAAGCACCTGCCCCTGTTCCAATCCAGAGCCCAGCCCTGGGAGGTGACTCGTGGATAGTCTGTATCTCCCTCGACATTTTCAGGGACTCTGACTCTGAAACAGCGGTGCCCACTCCCAGCTGGATATAGAGATTTTCTGTGTCTGGCCTCTTTGCAAAGGAATGAAATCAGATAATCCAGGGACTCCAGGGCTTGGGGGAGGGAGACTGGCTCACCAATCCCCACCTCAGCAACTAATCCAGGATAAAAAGCTCCAACACCCAGTCTTATTTCCTGGCTTTGCAAGAGCAGAGCTCCATGATGACAGGGACACAGGGGACAGGATCCAAGAGGACGGGATATAGATCAACGAATACAGAGGACAAAAGCTCTTTCACTAAAGAGCTGAGACTCCTTGTGTCCTTGAGCACATGCTTTTGTACCTCCTAGTGCTTAGCACACAGGGGTGACCCTGCTCCTTTCATCTTGCCACTGAACGACAACATCCCACACAAGAGGTGCACCTTCCCAGCCCCAAATCCAACCTAAACCACCTCCTGGACAGGCACTTCTCTGCTTGTGTTCATGCAGGGTGTTTGCTCCCTGGGCTTGATGTCCAGCATCCATCCCTGGACTTCCTTCTGGTTTAGGCACAGCAGCTGTCCCTCCCCCCGTGTGTTTAAACGTCTGGGAATTTTTATCCCATGTCCCACAGACTAGGTGACCAAACATCCTGGCTTGCTCAGTAATCACCCCAGTATATGCCTGTTACCCCCAGCATAATTATGAATAGCACCTTGTCTCACTCTCAAAAGTGACCTGAGTCAGAGGGCAAATGACCTCATCCCTCTAGTTGTACTATCTCCTCGTTTCCCACAATGAGCAGACTATATCTGTTGTATCATCAAGCTTCTGCAGATGTGCATGATTATTTCCTAACTCTTCATTTAGGAATGAAATCCAGATAGCATTGATCACCAATCCTTTAAAAGGGCTTTCTTCAAGTTCCTTATTTTCTTTCTTGCCCAAGTCTTACACGCAATATCTCATTGAAAGTTTCCAGGCATGTTTATTTAAGATGAACTAGGAAATTCAAGCACTTCTGAAGAGATTTCAGTACAAAATCCTTCTAGGTCTTAATGATTTTTTTTTTCAAATCTTTCATATTTGCCTTGACCAGATCTCACTTAACTTTAAAAAAAAATCAACTTTTTAAAATATCCAACTTGGTTTTGTAGAAAAATTTTTTTTACATACTTATATTGCATCATTTATCATTTAATTAGACTATATTATAAATTATAATGATAAGTCCAAAGGACATAAACCAGTTTGGGAAGAAATATGACAATTTTAATAAGTACATATTAAACTTGTGAGGGCTGGTGAGTACATAGCATACTCTAGTTCTTAAAATTGCTTCCTTCTAAACATTTCAGATATAAAAAATGTACAGAATTGTTCTATGAATTCTGGGAATTCTCACCACCACCAGCTTCAAAATTCATAAACTTTCTTCCATATTATTCACCTATCATCCTACCTCTTTTTTTTAATAAAGCCAACCCTAAAAAATATAATTTTACTCATAAATACTTCAAACTGTATCTTGAACATAGATGTTTACAGCCATTCACAATATTATGATGTGCAACAAAACTGATAATTTTTAGATATCAGCAGGTAGCCAGTCTGCATTCTATTTTCCCTGACTCAAAAATGTCTTTCACAAATTCCGTGTGTTCACATTAGGATCCAAGGTTGACATTGCTGTGTTTCTGAATCTCAAAAGAGACTCAAATGTTCATCTTGTACATTTCCTACTCCAGACTTGAATTCTGTTATTTCTCCAACGAGCCTTATTTTTAATCAGAAGTGGCATAAAACACTAAAAAAATGTTTTGTGTATGCGATTTAATTGTTGAAGAATTCATATCATTTGTTCTATAGAATTTCTCACATTATAGATTTGACTCACTCCCTGGTGGTGTTGGTTGACCTTTTCCTCCATTTACGACATTCCCTATGGTAATAATTCACTAATGATGATCTGATATGATACCACATATCAGGAGGCACATTTTCCAGCTTTATGTTATATGGGTTTATATGTTTGTATGGATTTGTGTGGTGGTGCTTGACCCATCTAATTTAAAGTTTATCTTCAACCTTTTTCTTAGTGATTTTAGAGTCGTTGTCTAGATCCATTATTTTATTACTGATTGCAAAGTGTTGATGCTTTTTTCTCCCCAGTGCTGGTGACTGAACCCAGGGCCTCATGCGTGTTAGACATGATTTTTCTGATTCTACATTCTTTCTGCATTTATTAGCTGTGTTTCTGGTGTGAAGAACTTTCACCAATTATCCA